CGGGCGGGCGGGGCGACGGGCAGACCCTGAGCCAGGAGGTCGGCTTGCGTCGGGCGGGCGGGGCGGGCGGGTTGCAACGCCTGGCGGGCCCGAGCGGGCGACTCGGGGCGTGCGGACAGCACTGCGAGCGGCTTGGGCTAGTGGGGCGGGTGCGAGCGATCGTCAGCATGTCTTTAGAAGAACATCTACTCTCCTGGATGTGTGCTACCGTTCCTCATGCTTGTCGGTCTCTTCCATCTTCTCAGGTTTTCCAGGTTCTAACCTACGATCGGATGTTCCTGCCGTGCAGCTTGCCGACGCGGGTGCGAGTCCGGGCAGGTCCGAGTCCGGCTGGGAGAGAGTCTGGCCGGGCGTGGGTCTGACCGAGCCAACCTGCGGCCGAGTCAGGGATATTCTGCGACAGGCCAGGCGCGTTGCAAGGCGAGGCCGAGTCGAGGACGAACCCCCCCGAGAAAGCCGGGGCCGAACAGCTCCAGAGCCGAACCAAGTTGGGTGCGAGTCCGCTGGGGTCCCCGGGGGTTTCTGGGAGGCCTCCGGGGGTTCCTGCCCGCAGGCCCCTGCTGGAGCTCTAAATGGGCTACAGTCGGGGCCCTGAAGAAGGAACCCTTTTCGTTGGAGAGGGGCTCGGTGTTCCTTGATTGTTTCAACGTTTCCCTCGGGTTCTCCTGAGGTTTTCCATGGGAAATCGAGGTTGGACTTATGGGAAAAAGGGGCCTCGTTCTTTATTTAGGGTTCCTTAGGTCAACGCCTCGACTGTGCACACGGGCCGAAGCCTCCGCCCCTCGGTTCTCGAGGCTCAGACCCTATGGGACTGAGGGCGACTCCGGCCGGGTGCGAGTCCTGCCGGGCCTGCCAGGTGCGACGCTCTCGGGGTCCGACGCCGGCCTCCAGCGGCTCAGCGAGTGGACGACAGCTGGCCGCCCCTCGCAGGAGGAAGCCATACCGATGCCGCCAGCCTTCCCTCGTCGCCACGGCTGGATTCGCCGCGAAGTATTGGTCAGAACCCACTCTGGGAGAGGCCCGGGGAGGAGCGACATCTGGCCTTTTTCGTTCCCCGAGTCCTGATTTCGTAGAGCTGCTGGGTGCATCTTACACTTGACTCGCTGGACTCGTTCTGGTACCCGCACTGGGCCCCGACGCCGCTGGAACCCAGGCGCAGCAGCCGCCGCAGTCCCCACCGGCGGGGCTGGCCGCGCCACCCGCTTCTGGCTTGACCCGTCCCCCTGAGCGGCCCTCGCCCCGTTTCCCCCCCCCCCCCCCCCCTTCGGCCGCCCGCTCTTCCTTCTTGCCCCCCTCCTGCATGGTGGCACAATTCGCTACAACGGTGCCCCCGTTTAGTTTTCTCATCCGCCAGCGCAGCCACTCTGCCTGGCCGCCGACGCAACGAACAAATCGCATTCTTTCTGCACGCCCCACCCCCTGCTCGACAGGGGCCTACGTCGGCGGGCCGTTGGCGGCGTGCGCTCGAGAGAAGGGGATCTGTTCTTCTGGTGGGTGGATGCTACATAGCAGCACGCAGGGGCGAGGCCGAAGCAATTGTCAGTTGTCGTTTCCTCCTCCTCATCCTCCTCCTCCTCCATCCCTTTTCCGTGTACGGAGCCTCTCCTTGTCGCATTGTCTCACCCCGAGGCGTGTCAGTTATCGTTTCCTCCTCTTCCTCCTCCTCCTCCTCCTCCTCATCCTCCTCCCCTTCTTCGGCGGCTGTCAGTGTCGAGCCTGCGGGTGCCGGCTTAGGGACGCAGCCGGTTGGACTGATCAGATGGCAAGAATCGTGAACGCGGTGGCTTTGCGCGAACATACAAGAAAAGGGCGAGGCCGAACACGAGAATGAAACCCACGCCGTCATCAATCAGCCACCGCAGGAGAGACGCAGGAGGAGGAGGAGGAGGAGGAGGAGGAGGAGGACCAGTGCCAGTCCAAGATGCATCAACGATGTTGGAATGAGCCCTCCCTCCAAGCTGCCTCTCTACAGGTCCCTACAATAATTACTTTCACTGCGGGAAGTGCCCCGTGGGAAGGCAGCCGTCTGAGAACCCTCAACCGTGCCACAACACCATTCCTGCAACTTCAACGCCACGAATAAACGTTACTGTCGCGTCCTGGGGATCATGCATCGTGCCAGAACACCACTCCTGGGGCGTCATCACCGCGAATCAACGTGACAGTTGCGCCCTGGCAAGCGGAGGTACGCGGCGCTCAGGCGAGCGCCATATTTTGAAAACGGTCTGCACTCCATCCGTGAAGCCGTTACAAGTTGTTGACGCTTCGCGTATCCACACCAGCCCATACAGACGATGCCCAGGAGAGTTGAGGTGATCAGGGAAGTGGGGGAGCATTCAGAAGAACAACGGGCGGGGGAGGCCGTTGGATACCCCAAGAGGGGAGGATAGAGGAGGAATCGTTGTCGTCGTCGTCGTCGGAGGAGGAGGAGGAGGACGGCGGAGGAGGAGGAGGAGGAGGAGGAGGCGGAGGTGCATTGCAAGGACGAGGAGGACGAGACGGAGGATAAGGAGGAGAAGGAGGAGAAGGATTGAGACTTGGGCACCTCGGGGATCGTCTTGAGGCCTCGTGTGGGGTCTCTTGGGAGCCTCTTGGGTGCCTCTTGGGGCCGCCTGGGCGCCTTTTGGGGGCCCTCGTCGGGCGCCCTCGGGAGCTTTAGGGGCGCTCGTAGGTGCCGTCTTGGAGGGCATCGACCAAAAACGAGGGGAGCTCCAATCAGCCTCCCCCCTCGGGAGCCCCGAACATCGCCTCCTGGACCTCTCTTGGGGCCGTCGTGGGGCTCTCCTGGGCCTCTCCTGGGGCTCTCTTGGGCCATCCTGGAGCCATCTTGAGGCCTCGGATGGCCATCGGAAGCGAAAAGGCGAGACAGCAATAATCATTGATTTCCCTTCGGTTTTTGAATGATTTTGGCTTCTTGGTGGACTCCTTGGAGGTCTCGGATGCCTCTCGGAGCCGTCTTGGAACGTTCTTGGGGCGTCTTGGACCATCTTGGGATCCATCTTGAGGCATTTTGCGCTATCTTGAGCCATCTTGGAGGTCATCTTGTTCTTTCCGAGGCGCTCTTGGAGCGGTCTCGGGCCATCTTGGACGCTCCAACCACACGCGACCACCCCCGTCCAGGTCCAGGGGGAGGGGGTAAGGGGGGAGGGGTAGACCCCTCCCAGGAGCCCAAGAAAGGGCTTGGAAGAGGAGCCTCCCTCGGGCGATCGCAAACATGGGTTAAGGGGGCGTGGATTAGCGACGGGGCCCGTTTCCATTGGAAAATCGCGGATTTCCGCCGCCGAGCGACGCGGCACCAGCCGCATTTTGGGAAGGGCATCTCCCCCGATCCACGGATTTGGCGACCGCGCGCCGAATCCATGGATCGCTAATCCATGCTTGCGCACCCCCGAAAGAAGGGGGTTGGAAGAGGAGCCTCCCACTGACACGCCTTGGGGTGCGACACACGGAAGAGGGATGGAGGAGGAGGAGGAGGAGGAGGAGGAGGAGGAGGAGGAGGAGGAGGAGGAGGAGGAGGGGGATGAGCAAGAGGAGGAGGAGGAGCAGGAGGAGGAGGATGATGATGATGATGATTCAGGCGATCGCAAACATGGATCAAGGGGGCGGGGATTAGCGACGGGGCCCGTTTCCATAGAGAAATCGCGGATTTCCGCCGCCGAGCGACGCGGCACCGGCAGCATTTTGGAAAGGGCGCCTCCCCCGATCCACGGATTTGGCGACCGCGCGCCAAATCCATGGATCGCTAATCCATGTTTGCGCGCCCCTGAATGATGATGACGATGATGATGACGACGATGATGATGCTGATGATGATGCTGATGATAATGATGATGCTGATGATGATGCTGATGATGATGATAATGATGATGATGATGCTGATGATGCTGATGATGCTGATGATGATGATGATGATGATGATGATGCTGATGATGATGATGATGCTGATGATGATGATGATGACGATGATGATGATGATGATGATGACGATGATGATGATGATGATGATGATGATGATGATGATGATGATGATGATGATGATGATGATGATGATGATGATGATGATGATGATGATGATGATGATGTGGGAAACTGTCGTTCTGGCTCCTCGGGGCGCCCCCAGTCTCCACCACTGGGCACAGCTCGACAACAGCGGACCCGGCTGGGCTCCACGGAGGGGATCCGCGGGCTGGCCCCGGGCGGGCGTGGGGGTGCTTGGCGATCCATGGACAGCCCTGCCATCCCCGGGGAGGAGGTGGACGACGAGGAGGAACAAGGCGGGACGGTCGAGGGCAGAGGAGGCGGGTGGAGACCGCGGTGGTTGGTCTTCGGGGTAACCCTCGTCGCCACGGCTGCAGCCTGCGCGGCCGGACCCCGGGAGGGTTCGGGGAACGATGTCGAGCTGCCGTTGTCTCGGCGCGCCCTGTTCCGATGGAGCGCAGAGGATTCGGTATCGTTTGACCGATCCCCATCCACATCCCCATCCACTTCGAGACCCCCACTAAATTACCGCCCCAGTTGGGGATACACCCCTCGAAACCCGAAGCGGACGACCCATATCCCCATCTAGGGGGGTAGATCGGACATTGGGGCCCAGGCCGCGCCGCTGGGGATGGGGATCGCTTAAACGATACGCAAGGATGGGGGGTGGGAGAGAGCGGCATGGAAGCCCGTGGGTTGAGGGGGTAGGGGCGAAGGACGGAAAAGGAATGAGGAAGTGCCGATGACGAACGTGGTGCGGCAGACGACGAGGGAGGGCGTAGCAGTGGAGAAGGAGTTCCAGAGGAGGGTTGAAGGAACCAGCTTGCACCAGCCACAGTTTGCGGGATCCTGATTCTGCGATATGTGTGTCCACGCCTGAACACCCAGCGGCATATCCGATAGCATCGCGCTATTTTCCTCGAAATGTACACATCGTTTGCTGCTGGAGCGCGTTTGCCCATGAGAGAGCTCAGACATGCTCAATGCAAGCTCTTTGTCTTCTTGGTTCGCCCTCCCGCGAGGTTTAGCATCTTCATCCCGTCGGCCTTCTACTTTTATGCAGCTCCGCCTGGCGGGACGGTAGTTTGCTGTCGCGGCTCCCCCCCGCCCGTAGTCGTGGAGGAGTGTGCGGAGCAGTCACGGCTCGTTATCAAGCACCGACGTTGCTGTACCCTCGCTCACCACCCACCAAACCACCCCAACCCACCCCGAAGGCTCAAATTTACCGTCGATTTCCAGTTGGGGGGGTGTCGGGGAACATCGAAAAAACACGCGTGGAACCCTTACCCCCCCCAACCCGAAATTCGGGTCTTCGGGTTGGGTTGGGGTGGTCTGGTAGGTAGTCACTCGCAGGCGGGGCAGACACGCAAGAGCTCGCGCGAGCATGCAGACGGCGGGCCGAGCGTCGCAGAGCCGCAGCCGGGGGTCCGTGCCCGATCCGGCACCCGATCTGGCGAAGAGCGCGGGATTCCACGCCATGGGTCTGGGAGTGTCGGGTCGGGCGAAAGGGGGGGTTTGGGAAAGGGGGGGTTACGAAATCTGCTGCATGCAGCTGGTTTCGGCCTCACCGAGGGGCCCATTCCTCGATACATGGCCGCCTCCGGCGCCGGGAGGCGCCGGGAAAATCAGCTACGTGAGCTGATTCCCAACCCCCCCCTTTGCTATCCCCCCCTTTCGCCCGACCCGAGAGTGGAGGGAGGGTGGCGGTATCAGGGGTACAGTCGGGGCGCTGAAGAAGGAGCCCTTTTCGTTTGGGAGGGGCTCCGTGTTCCTCAGTTGTGTTGCAGTGCTCCTTGGGTTTTCCTGGGGTTCTCCATGGAAAATCGGAGTGTAACTGATGGGGAAAAGGGGCCTCGTTCCTTGTTTAGGGTTCCTTGGGTCAACGCCCCAACTGTATGCGGCGCGAGCGCACCCAGCTTACCCGCTCCCTGCCCTCCTCCCCCTGCCCCCGCCGTCTCTCCCTCACGTCCGCTCTTCCCCCATCGTTCCACCCTTCCTCTCTTCCCGGGCCTTTGGCCACAGCGGCCCCAGCAAGGCTCACCGTGGGCCAGAGAGGGTGGAGCGCCGCCTGGAGGCTTGGAAGGCTGAGCTCGCTGCTCCGGCATGAGCATCATCGCGTTCCAGCGGCGATTTCCCCTCTGGGCCGCTCTCGACCCCCCAACCCCCACCACCGGGGCCCATGTCGATTCGATCGGATCCGATCCGATTCGATGTCGATGTGCTGGCGATCCCATGAGGACCGATGCCTGCGCAGCGTAGGTGTGTGTGTGTGTGGTTGTGCGCGCGCGTGCGTGAGCGTGTTTTTTTTTTTTGTTTGTGTCTGTCTGTCTGTCTGTCTGCCTGCCTGCCTGCCTGCCTGTCTGTCTGTCTGTCTGTCTGTCTGTCTGTCTGTCTGTCTGTCTGTCTGTCTGTCTGTCTGTCTGTGCTTTTGTGTGTTTTTTTTTTTTTTGTGTGTGTGTGTGTTTGTGCGTGCGTGTGTGTCTGGGCGCAGCCGATCCGATTCGACGTCGGCTCCGTGCCACTGCGGCCCGAGCCGACGCACACGTCAACTGGATCCGATCTCCCGACTCGACGCTGACTGATCCTGACTGATCCTGCACCCCCCTCCCCCCCGAGACGCGGCGTGAAGGTCTGCGCGCCGCACCTGTGGCGCCAGGTGAGCCCGTGGCTGCCGATCCTGACGGTGCTGGTGTTGGCTTCCACCGTGGTGCTGCTGCTGCTCACGTCCTGCACGGAGCCGGGGGAGGAAGGAAGGGGCAAGGGGCGAAGCAGGAGAAACGACGGCTTTGAGCCCTCGCAAGGAAGGGGAGAAGCAGGAGGAGCGACGAGGGTCAAGGGAGGAACAACCACCCAGACTGGACAATTGGCGTTTATCAAATGGCCGTGGGCGTTTCCTAAACAGCCCTGCCTTGTCTGATTCCTTCTTGGGGCGCGTTTACTAAACGACTTCGCGTTTCGGGGTGGTTATTGTGTGTGGGGGGGGACTTATTGGTTTCTAGGAGGGTGGATCGAGGAGGGCCCTGGGAGGCGACCTTTGTTCGACACTGTTTCGATACTTTTCTGAATGCTCGAAATTGTTTCTGGGGTGTGGCCTTTATGTACGATGGGAGCAACAGAAGACGAGGGTGGATCGAGGAGGGAAGGGGAAGGTACGGTAAGTCAGGGGTCTGGCCCTCGGTGGGGCAATGCGGCGAGCCGGCTCAGACCACCACGAGGGGTACCCGATTTTGGGAGCACCGCCTCCCTCGCGACGTGCTCGGAGGGAGGCGGAAGAGGAGGGAGGAGGAGGATGAGGGGGCCCGCGAAGAGAGGGGGAGGAGGGGGAGAGGAGGAGGAGGAGGAGGAGGAGGAGGAGGAGGAGACGGAAGACGTGTGGGAGGAGGAGAGGAAAGAGGAGGAGGAGGAGGAGGAGGAGGAGAAGTGATGATACCTTTCCGGGTCCTGACCCCCAGACGTCACTGGAGTGCGTGCCGATGAACTCCTCCTCTACATAGTCACGAGCAGGTCCTTCGTCAAATGGCGCTTCAGTGAAGACAGGGGCCCAGTAGTTACATATTTCCTGAAGCTGATCTTCTTGGCTGAAGTAGGATTTGTTGTCATCCCGCACCGCTCTCAAGACCGCCTTCTTGCCGAATTGGACTTGCATCTGTGCCTTTCTCTCAATGGCTGTTATCTTGGCCCCCAGCCCGTTCTTACGGTTGGCTTTGGTAAGGTCAATTTGGATCATCGAGATGCATTTTTCAACAGCATGAAAGCGAATCCTCTCCGTCCAGCTCCAAAACACTTTGTCATCAGTGACCTCCACAAACCCAGCAAGCACTGCAGGGGAGGCTGCCGCCTCAGAGGACGCGGAAAGGATGCGTGTAGCCAGCTAGGCACCGTTTCTCCATATTGGTCTCGCTGCTTGCTTGACCAGCACCAATTGCCAGTGCATGTCGTCGACATCGGCAGTGAACAACCTCTCGATAGTAATGCGGGCGGCCTCAACAATGAGTTTGGTTGAAATGAGCAAGCTGGAGAGGAGGATATTTGCGGGCGATATCAACTTCTTCATTCTCCGCCAGACGTTCTAATGTGGTCGCAAAGTCAGGCCTCTCAAACACAACTGGAGGGACACCCGGATCCTTGGGTGCATGCAATATTCCATCTTGAATGATTAGCTGCAGCGCTGCGTGATCCGAGATTCCCTTGTCGTGTTGCGTCTCAGGCGGGTCGACCACAGCTCCGCTTTTTGAAAGTTGACGCATCATCCATGTTGGGGTGACTGTCCAGCTCCGATCTAGCCACGACTTGCAACAGTGGGTCGGGCCGTCCGCCGAGAACTCCACGAGCGAGTCGAGAACCACCTTCCACTTCTACGCGAAGTAGCGGGGTCTGCTGTGCTTGTTGAGTGACATGTCCCTCTGTGGTTGCAGCAGTTGCAGCTTGCTGCAGGAGGCGCACTTCATGTCCCCTGCCACAGTCACCTTTCGAGAGCTTTGATCTCGTCTTGCCCAATATCTTTTTTCGCAGAAGACGAGAAATGTTAGCCACTTGTCTTCCAGACAGATCACGGTTGTGGATGTTGTATTGGTGCAGCTCGGCTTGCCCCGACTTCACGGTGACTTTGAGAACCCTTCCTCTAACCAGTGTGGTCTCCGTCGCCGACCTCGCAGCATCATTCGAAAGGGGAAGAACAGAACACACTCCCGCTTTTTTGTGCGAGGAACGATCGGACATGGTACTGTAGAGCAGGACGCAACGCGCTGGAAGAAGGTCGTGTTCTGGTCCTTGGCTTGGTGTACCTCTTGAAACCTTAGAAAGGTGCGGCCCACATCACAGTCCCTGAGGCACTCTGCCTTTTCGGGAGCCATCGTACCACGCCATCTGAGCAAAGCCTGATCGTTCCACGTGCCAAACGCCAGCAACCGACTCGAAGAACCCGCCGAACCTCTGGATGCCCGTGACCCGAGAAGCGTATCATGTCGAAGAGCCAGGAAGTTGTCAAAGACATCAGATCGACCACAGGGTCCTTCAGGCCAAATCGGACCTCTTTTCAGCCAAAGAGGTCGCCAGCCATCTCGGAGACAACGGTACGGAGAAGGGGCTTACAGTAGGTTCATGCGCCGTTGGTGTGTGGGCGATGCCGGCGAAGGCGTTCGAGGTTGAATTCCTGGGACGCGAGAGCACCGATGGACACAGTAACGCCCTTGGACCCAGCTGAGTTCAACCTTGAAAGATCGGGGCCGCGATCGATGCAGGGTTGAACGATCGGCGCGGTGTCAAGAACGTTGGCGAGGGCCGACGCCCCACGACTCGCCGCATCTCCGTCACCGCCGACTGCTCCGACCCGCAAGGCAGACGAGCTGTCCGCGCCGGCCGTCCTCCGGCGCGCGCTGGCTCGGGAGGCCGCCGCGCTCGCCGAGCGCCCCCGCCTTGTTTGGCGGTGGGCACGCCACCGCAGCCGCCGCCCACGGCCGGCGGCGCCCGCACGGGGCATCGCCTCCCGCCTCGGTTGTTGCGGAGGTTGCCGCCGCCACGCCGAGGGCCGTGGGCCTCGGGGGCGAAGGGCCTCCTGCAGCAGGCGTGCGCCCTCCGTCTCGCGCGCCCCGGGCGGCTGCCACTGCGCGCGCTGCCCGCGCGCGGCCCCGCGCCGAGCGCGACGCCCTGCTGGCGGAGGCGGGAGGCGGCCGCGCACGGGCGGTCCGAGGTGGTCGCTGCGCTGGAGGCCTCGAGCGCCCGCGGCGGCCCCCCCCGCGGGGCACGCCGCTTCTTCACCGCCGCGCGGGCTATGCGTCAGGGGAGCTGCGGGCGATTCAGAGGGGGAGACGGTACTCATACAGTTATACCCTCCGTCCCTTTTTCCTCTCTTTCGGCCTCCTCGGAGGCCCTCGTCGCCACCGTTGGACTCGCCTCGAAATTCTGGTCAGAACGCACCCCGGAAGAGGTCCGGGGAGTAGCGGTATCGGTACCTTTTGGTCTCCTCAACTATGGGTCCCCACCCCTCTCTAGGCGGATTTCCACCTCCACCTGTTGGCCCACCACGGCCACCTCCGCCGTCGGCAGACCAGGGCGACCTCGAGGAGGGAGGGGTCCCCGACGGCGTCGACCCTCTCGACGACCCCCATCGGAGAGCACTTCGACGACCAAGCAGGGGGCCCCTTCTGCCTCGGAGGCTCCCTCGACAAGCACGAAGAGGTGATGACGACAGGGGCGGGCCTGGTGACCGCCCGCCCCCGCCTGACCGACCAGCTGCCCTCCTCCTCCGCGGTTGCCCCGGTCTGGCGGCCGAACTCGCCGCCGCAACGGCTCCAGTACCCTCGGCAATAGCCCCCGACGATACATCTCAGTGACACCGACCTCCGCGGCGTGGAAGCTCAGACCCCCTCGGCGCAGGCTGCCTCAGCCTTGGCCGAGACCCAGCGCCGCCTCCCATGGCGGGCAACAGCGGCGAGTAAGTATACCCTTTGCTTTTACCCCGCGCCCACTAGGGGCCAACTGTACGCCCACTGGCCCCATCGGCGCTGCGTCCGCTTAAGCTCCGAATGCCACTCCGAATGTGCCAGAGCTCTCCTGGGAAAACCCCTTTGTGGCCCCCGCCCCAGCGGGAACTGCGGGGTCGCTATAGGTGGTGATGAAGGGGCTCCCTTCGTGCAGCTCTGGGCCCCACCTCTCGCTGTGGCCGGCTCTGTCCCTCCGGGCGAGCACCCGCGGCGCGGCCCCCCCGACCCTTTCAGGAGCCCGACATGGCACACGGCCGCCACCCCGCGGCCGCCCCTCTGGCCCCACTGGCCTGGTGTCGCAGTTGTTGCTTCCGCCCGTGCAGTATTTGCTCGACCACAAGAAACCTTCCACAAGAAACCATTGATTGATTTTTGGTGTGGAAACGTCACGCTTCCCAACCATCGAAACCCAGGGCACCCTGGAGGCAAGCAGGGGGTTTCTTGGCATGGGCCCCCACAATGCCCATCAGGGCCCCCTCCCGTCTCGGCGGCCCTGGAGGGTTTCTCTGAAGGGCTAAGGCGACCCGTCCTCCTCCTCCTCCTCCTCCTCCTCCTGCTGCTCCTCCTGCTCCTCCTCCTCCTCCTCCTCCTCCTCCTCCTCCTCCTGCTCCTCCTCCTCCTCCTCCTCCTCCTCCGCCTCCTCCTCCTCCTCCTCCTCCTCCTCCTCCTCCTCCTCTCTCCTCCTCCTCTCCTCCTCCTCCCTCCTACTCCTCCTCATCCTTCATCCCCCTCATCCTCCTCCTCCTCCTCCTCCTCCTCTCCTCCTCCTCCTCCTCCTCCTCCTCCTCTCCTCCTCCTCCTCCTCCTCCTCCCTCCTCGGGTCGCCTGCGGCCCCGGGGGAAACCGTGCAGGCGGCCCCTGAGCCACCGTGCGGCCCCACCTCAGGGCACCTGAGGCTCCAGTGCCATCTGACAGACCCTCCCGCCTGTCCCAGCACATCTCCGCCGCGCGCCTGCCTCTGCACCCGCTGCCGACGCTCCAGCCGGCGCGACGGCAGTGGGACCCCTCCAGCACCGGGGCCAACGCGCTCGCTGCTTCTCTCCGAGACGTTCACGACCGCACTCCCCCCCTCCTCGAGCGCTTCCGGCGCCAGGGCCACGTGGCATGAGGCAGCTGCCCCCGCCCATGCCCCGGCGGCTGCCCTGCCCCCATGGGGCGCAAGCCGCCCTGGCGGCTTTGCAGGCCCTCCACACTCCTTCCCAGCAGCCTTCAGCGTTGCCGCCCACTTCCCGCGTTCCAGCCTGGCAAGCGA